CTCCTCCCAGTTTAGTATCATCAGCAGACTTGTTGAGAGTGCACTCTGTCCCATCATCCAGGTCATTGATGAATAAGTTGAACAGGATTGGACCCAGTACTGACCCCCGGGGTACACTGCTAGGTACTGGCCTCCAACTAGGCTTTGTGCCACTGTTCACAACTCCTTGAGCCCAGCAGTTCAGCCAGTTTTCAATCCACCTCACAGTCCATTTATCTGGTCTGTACTTCATTAACTTGCCTATGAGGCTGTTATGGGAGATGATGTCAAAGGCCTTGCTGAAGTCAAGGTAGACAACATCCACTGCTCTCCCGTCATTTACACAGCCATAGAAGGCTATAAGTTTGGTTAAGCATGACTTTGTGACTCCATGCTGACTATTCCTGATCACCTTGTCCTTCATCTGCTTGGAAATGGTATCCAGGATTAGCTCTGCTCCATCACCTTTCCAGGGATTGAGGTGAGGCTGACCAGCCTCCTGCCCCCCTTGCTTGACTTCTTGCTCATTGGGATGCACCATTCTTGAACCTGGAGGAGGTGATCCTTGAATATCAACCAGCTCTCTTGGACCCCTCTTCCTTCTAGGGCCCTATCCCATGAAATTCTTCCAAACAGGTCCCTGAAGAGGCCAAAGTCTGCTCTCCTCAAGTCCAGGGTTGTGATCCTGCTCTTTGCCCTGCTCCCTCCTCTCAGGATCCTCAGCTCCACCATCTCATGGTCACTGCAGCCAAGGCTGTCCCTGACCTTCACATCTCCAACCAGTCCTTTCTTGTTTGTAAGTATGAGGTCCAGCAGAGCACCTCTCCTTGTTGGCTCCTCTAATACCTGTATCAGGAAGTCATTGATGTTCTCCAGGAACCTCCTGGATTGCTTGTGCCCTGCTGTGTTGTCCCTCCAGCAGATATCGGGGTGGTTCAAGTCCCCCATGAGGACCAGGGCCTGCGAACATGAGGCTTCTTCCAATTGTCTGAAGAAGGCCTCATCTACTACTTCTTCCTGATCAGGTAGCCTAGAGCAAACACCCACAACAGTGTCACCCATATTAGTCTGCCCCTTAATCCTGACCCATTAGCTCTCACCCAGTCCATCGTCCACCCCTAGGTAGAGCTCCATGCATGCCAGCTGCTCTCTCACATAAAGGGTGACTCCCCCTCCTCGCCTTCCTGGCCTGTCCTTCCTAAAGAGCCTTTGTCCATCCATTGCAGTGTTCTAGTCATGCGAGCTATCCCACCATGTCTCCATAATCACAATGAGATTATAGCCCTGAAACTGCACAAAGATCTCTAATTCCTCCTGTTTATTCAACACCCTTGGATGCATCCTATCTAGTCCCATGGACTTGTGTATGTCCAGTGGGTTAAGTGGCCCCTAACTCTTTCTTCCTCTGTTGTGGGTATTGCTTCGCTCTCACAGGCTCTGCTAGGAGGCTCAGGGACCTGGGAAGTCTTAGGGCAGACCTTACCAGTGAAAACTGAGGCAAAGGCGGCACTGAGTACCTCAGCCTTTTCCCTGCCGCTTGTCACTAGGTCCCCTGCCCCACTGAGCAATGAGCTCACCCTCTCCTTAACCTTCTTTTTGTACTTGGAGAAACCTTTCTTGTTGCCCTTCACCTCCCTTGCTAGGTTTAACTCCAGCTGAGCTTTGATTTTTCTGACTACTTGCATGCGCAATGTCTTTGTATCCCTCCTAAGTAGTCTGTCCCTGCTTCCACCTTTTGTGTACTTCCTTTTTGTGTTTGAGTGCAGTCAGCGCTGTTCATCCATGCTGGCCTTCTGCCACACTTGCTTGACTTCCTGTACATTGCAATGGACTGTTCTTGTGCTCTGAGGAGGACAGCTCCTACAAGGATAACTTCTTGAAGATTAGCCAGCTCTCCTGGGCACCCTTGCCCTCCAGGGCAGTTTCTCACGGGATCCTGCCAAGCTGATCCCTGAACAGGCCAAAATCTGCTCTTCTGAAGTCCAGGATTGTAATTCTGCTGTTTGTCTTGCTCACTCCTCTCAGGACCTTAAACTCCACAAGTCTAATTGGGCAGCCTTGGCAGTGACTTAACCTTTACATCATCCAACAGTTCTTCCTTGTTTGTGACTAGCAGGTCCAACAGAGCATCTCCCATAGTCATTTCATCAGGCACCTGCATCAAGAAATTGTCTTCTATACATCCCAGAAGTCTCCTGGATTGGTTACACTCAGCCCTACTGCCCTTCCAGCAGATATTGGGGTGGTTAAAGCCCCTCCATGAGTACCAGGACCTGTGACTGTGAGGCTTTCTCCAGCTGCCTAAAGAAGGCTTCATCTACCTCCTCCACTTGATCAGGAGGTCTGTAGCAGACACCTACTACAACACCACCTGTGCTGGTCTGCCCTCTAATCTTTACCCACAAGCTCTCTACTGGCTCATCAACTGCCCTAAGGCAAAGCTCCATGCATTCAAGCCACTCCTTTGCATAGAACACAACCCCTCCTCCTCCTCCTCCTCCTCACCCACCCACTCTATCTTTCCTGTAGAGCCTGTATCCCTCCATTGCAGCACTCCAATCAGGGGAGCTATCCCATTGTGTCTCCACAATGAACATAGATGTGCTATACTACCATAAAAGTGTTTGATCTGGATCTCTCTATGTGGGTTAGGGGTTTTGCAGATATGTAGGTGCATCAGGGAAAAATTTTAGACAGAATTTCAGTGCCTCACTTCCCATCTGTAGTGGGTAGCCAATTTGTTTTAGAGTGGCTTTCTTTTGTTTGAATTTTTTGTGGCTAATTCAGTCTCTATAAATAGACATTTAACATGCGTAGTAAGTATGAGCGAAAAATTGGGAAAACTATACAGGACTGAGGTGGGGGATAGGAAGAGGACAAAATGCAGTTTGGGAACAGGCTACATGAGAGGAAACAGATGTTGGAAGAAATGAGATAAGTACTGAAAATAGAAATTTTAGAGAACTTTTGCAAGAACTTTAGGAGAAATCTCATTTTCTGACCTGTGATCTAAGATCAGGCTGAAATGTCATGAATTATTTAGAAAGTCTAGACAGTATTGGTCATCTGCTATGACTGTTCAATGGCAGATTGTTGGCAGCAATGCATCCTGTTTAGTCAAAGTACTGCATATGGCCTTCAGCAGTTTACATATGAGTTAAGTAATTAATAAAGGCTGTATTGTTACAGTAATAAACTCTAAATTCCTGGAGAAAGAACAGAAACATATACTTTTAGGGAGTTGCTGAATCCAGTAGCCCATTAGAGATGGGGCTGCCATAGCTCCATGTCCCCATGTCCAACCAATAGTGAGGCTGAGCATGTATCTCCAGTAGGCACACAAACACATGTATACAATACACACATATACACAGCTGGCAACGCAGATCAACACAGACAGTCACACTGAGCATTCACACAAACACAAACAGCACCAATGGCCTCATCCTGTTCCCCTCTCTGGCTGAACAGCATGAAGGTCCTTTAGTGGGAAATATATACATATATACAATGTGGATACCCTCAGTAGCTGGGCTTAGACACTCAGTCTGTCTAGTAGCTGGCCCTGGATCCTCACTCTCCCCAGTTGCCTCCCAAAGAGAGAGAGAGAGAGAGAGCTGTCCCACACTTGTTCCTCCCCAATCTACCTTGATCCCTCTTTCCCGCTTCCTCCCCTAAACATCCCATAAGTCTTGTGCAATCCCCAAATGCTCTTCCCCTGCATCTCATAATGTGTCCCATACCCCCTAGGCAGTAACCCCCCATAATCTGTGAGGTTATCCGGAGAACCTCTCCCATTGATTCGTCATGATGGGTGTCACCCTTGAACAATGACAATGGGGCTGACACCCTCCTATGACAGCCCTGGGAGGAGTTGGGGCAGGGTGTCCCTTTCAGGACAGGGTATTATTCAAGTTCCTCCACCTGCCACTGTTCCTCTGTGCTCCTTTGTGTGTGCGGAGACAAGCTTTTTATCACATAACCTAACCATATACCATATTTTAGCAGCTTGGTACCTTTACTTTTTAGAGGGCTTATGCAGTAAATTTATAACTAATTTAACATAATTTCCTTGAACACTTGCTTACTCAAAGTGTTGTAGTGTAGCGGTTGTTACATTAATTGATTTTTCTATGATGTTGGCTTAGGCTGCAGATTTTTAAAGAATGACAAATGCATTTATTAGTTTGCAGTGTATGGTAGAGGATCTACTTGTTGCTACTGCTGATGGATTTCTCCATCTTATTCACTGGGATGGCATGACCAATGGAAGGAAGGTCATCAACCTATGTACAGTACCATTTTCAGTAGACCTGCAGTCTTCTAGAGGTAATTTTATTTGTGATAGATAAATAATGGAGAAATACCCTCTAAAATAAAAGCACAATATTTTCTGCTTTCAACTAGAGGAGTGAAAAATCCCTGTTTTGTAAATATGGACAAAGTAGCCTGTTGACATGAGTTATTATTGCTGTGAGATAATAAGCAAAGAACTGTAAACTCTGGCTAGCAGTAGCACTGCGTTGACATCTTTTAAAATTGCTCATGTTTTCTCAGCAGGTTCTTTTTTGGGCTTTGAAGATGTTCACATCAGAGATATGGAATACTGTGCCACGCTTAATGGGTTTGCTGTTGTTTTTAATGATGGCAGGATTGGTTTCATTACATCAATCTCAAGTAGATTCACTGCTGAGGTATAACATTTAATACTTCTAGGATATGTTACTTTGTCTTTGTATTAGTTGTAGAAAATAACTGAATGTTTTTCTTTCCGTGTGCCCCCCATATTTCAGTTAACTTATAGCTTTCGCTTCAATTCACCCACAAATTAAAAAATGACAAGCTATTTAAGAGGCAACTTGAGAACAGTATGATGTTTCATACCATAGATTGAAACTAAACTAATAAGGTGACTTTATGGGAGAGCATATAGTAGAAAGAGCTTTAGGCCAAATCTTGAGCTATTGTGCACTGTCACAGTTGGTTTGAAGTAGAGTTGATCTTTGATCTTTCATCATTCCAGAGCCTGTTTACAGTTCTGAGGTCTTATTCCTGTGTCTGAAACAGACTTCCTGTTACTAATTATAAGTGGGGTGATAAGAGAGAGTTTCTCCAGCTGTAAAGTATCTCACAGGTACTATTCCTAGCTCTCAGCCTTAGCTGCAAGTCTAACTGTTCTAACAGTGATAGGCATATTTCAGAATTTATTTTAAAGGAATCTTTTCCAAGCTACAAGTTCTCACCTATAACTTGATCTACAAACTGTAGTGATTTTTCTCACTTGATATTATTGCTTTATTTTAATTACAGAAAATCCAGAAAGCTATGTGTAGTTAGTCCAAAACTCCTAATTTGGTAAAAGGATTTTGAACCCTTCTCCCTCCCCCCCCCACTTTAATATTTGTAGATTCAGCAGTTGCAGAAGGGTATTTTTCCTGTTTTGTGTTCTGACTCCATCCTTCATACCTTCGACTTATTTTATGTGGTGTTAGTAGTATTATGTGCCTTATAGCTGTTGTCTTACCTTGGTTATTCAGAGCTTTGATAAACAAAACCTGATGCCTATATAACTTTGTTACTCCTGATGACGTCAATTTGTAGGTAGACTATTCATCTGAATTATATCAGTTAATCTTGAAATCTGCAATTGAAATAAACTTTTCAAATAGAAATACAATATACTTTATTATTGAAAAAATATATAAAATTTGATTTGAGATTACTGTATTAATATGCTTTGCTATTTAAACATCTCTGTAATGTTGTAAATATCAGGAAAATTGTGTTGTGAAAGCATTATATACATTGGTTTTTGGTATTTAAAAACAGATGTACTTAATTTCCTAGTATAGATATATATATATTGAAAAGAAAAACATCTACATGATGTAGGTCAACTGGCAGACCCAGAGAATGGGATTATTGCTAATTGCCTTTGTAACTGTAGCTGAACACCCGCAGTGCATGCACAGACCTGTCTAATGAACTGCTACCACGTTCATGGGAGAAAAGATTTGCTGTCATGGTTATGTACAGTTTTTGATTGTTTTCCCCAAATAGGCAGCTGGACTACAATGTAGACATGTTGGGCCACTCTGCAAACACTTCTCTTTTTTAACTACTTTAGTCTAACGGGGGGTTAGGGAGGAGGGCACAGGTTTTAATTTCTCTGTGCTTGATACTGTAAAGCTCCACTTCCAAAACAGCTGTGAACTTTAGTTGAGTGATTATTGAATTATATGGAAAACGTGTAGAAGCTGATTGAGTATCATGAATAAAAGTATTGTTTAACAAAAATCTTTTGTGACTTCTTTACAGCAGCTCTATGGTGTTTGCTCACAAGATGTGGTTGATGGAACTTGTGTGGCAGTAAATAACAAATACAGGCTAATGGCATTTGGATGTGCCAAGTAAGTTTTGTAAGACTATTCTGACAAGTTGATTGGGAAAGATTTGGAGGTTTCTTATGAAGCACAAGTATTAGTTTCTTTATTACAAAGTTATGTTGTAAAAGCTTTAAAGATATAAATTACCAGTCCTATTAAAGGTGGAATTACCTGCTTTGACCAGAAGGTAGAAGGGAAGGGAATCATTTCAGGTGAATGAGTCAAATATCATTTATTTTTCAGACTGGAAGAATAAAAGTAACTAGAGCAGTAGTGAGGCTTGGAAACCTGCCACTACCCCAGTTAATCTCAAAGCAGGGTTGTTTTGAAATGAAGTTGATGTCAAAAAGTTAATATTGCTAATATTAGGCTAGAAATATTGACTTTTTGCACCTGACTGACAGAACTCTGCTCTGTAGAGTCTAGATTTGGTAGGGAAAAATATTGCCTATTTGCTGAATAACTGGGAATGTCTTTTAAGTGAAAGGCACTCTTATTTCTGCTGTTTGCTTTGTTCCTTCGAAGATGGTTCCTTTTATATAATTTTGTTTGTTTTGTAACTCCTATAGTGTAGCTTTTTTCAGAGTCAGCTTCATAAGAACTTGGTCATCTATGTGGTTTAGTCTTCAATTGCCTTCTTTGGGAATTGTATTCCCAGTTGTAGCAATATAATTGTATTTTAGTTCCAGTCACTTTGGGTTATACTTTGGGGGGTTTTTGTTTTTGTTTTTTTGCAATCTTAATATGCACTAGCGCACTTCAAATGAAACTTTATCACCCAGTAAACCGCATCCAATTTAAAAGTATTTATAGGGATTGCTATGGAGTTTGGATCCATGTAAAAGCTTGAACTGTATAAATTTGTTTTCATAGAACCAAATAGTACTCACTGCATTGATGGTTTTATAAGCCTGTTCTGTTGGGTTCTCTACTGCATTCTGCAAAGCTTCTTGTAAACATGTTACTTGACACAATGCATCTGTTCTAGACTAAAAAAAGTTTAGTTTATCTAGATAGTAGCAGACACTAATAGCGAGGTGCGTGTTTTCTATTTTTTAGAAGTGAAAGTAGATAGATAGTTATAAAAGTATCTTCATGTTTGGCTTTGATCAGAACATAGCCCAAAAGTTATATAATATGGGCAGGTTTTCTTTTTAAACTTTTATTTAATAAATTTCTGTGTGTTAACTGTAAGTGGAGTATATCTGAGAATGGGAAACCATTTTTAAACAATATATTAACAACTTGTTGAAGTTTAGAAATCCAAATGCTCTATAGGCTGCGGTGTTTGTAATCTCTTCCAGCGGCTCTGTGCAAGTTTATACAATGGATATCACTACTGGAGTCATGCAATTTTCTCATAAATTGGAGCTGACACCAAAACAATATCCTGGTGAGTTCTGCCATGTTAATTTTATTGCTAGATTTTTCCAGTTGTTCTTGTAAAGTACAATACAAAGTTGAGCATTCAAGTCTCATGAGTTGAAATTAAGTATTTTGCTTTTTTCTTTCCCCAGGTATTAAAGAATATTTTTATCCTGGTTAATAAAGTACTGTTCACTGTTTGCATTATTACTAGTGATGTGATTCATATGTGAATCTTTGCTGTTTTGGATAAAATTTGAATTCAAGTAGTTGACAGGTAGTGCTTCTTTACTGGTTTTCTTTTAAATGTTGCAGGTTTTAGTATCCTGCACAATTAATCTTAAGATTTTAAATCCCTCTACTGGCCAAGTAAGAAATAACATTGAAACATAATAAAAACATATCTGGTTTTAGACTGAATATTCCTCCTACGGGTTTTCTGTAACGTAGTAAAGATGAATTCATTGTATGCACTTTGAACAATACCAAACACTGGATGGACATGGTTTGACAAATGTATTTGATCTTTATTTTGGTTATCAACATTCAATTTCTCTACTTTCTTCCTTTCCTTTCTCCTTTGATTATTAACAGAAAGCAACATCACTTTTGCATTATTCATCTGAGAAAATGACAGGGAGAATTGGTAAGGAGTATGTTAGTGGTAGGAATTTGTGCAGTGAACTTGAAACAATTGTCATGTTTTCTGTAGGTTTATTTAAAAAAAAATCCTGTAGAGTCCCACCAATTTCAATAAAAATTGTATTAGGAATTCAGTGATCCCCTTTAGCCCAAACTGCAATGTTGCTTGAACACAAGCATAATTTTTTTTTGTTTGTTTGTTTTGTTTTTTGTGATATTAAATGCAGCAAAGAAGTTAACTGGACAATCAAAAGTATATGTATAATTTTTTTTCTTATGACAAAAGCAGTTGAAAAGTAACTAACGTTTTTCACATACTAATTTTGCTATCTATTTTAAAACAGATATTTGGAATAAAACGGGACCAGTTAAACTGATCAAGTGGTCTCCTGATGGTTGTGCTGTTATGGTGACCTGGGAATTTGGAGGCATGTCCTTATGGAGTGTTTTTGGTGCCCAGCTTATTTGTACTCTGGGAGGAGATTTTGTGTGAGTATCTTTCACTATGAAAACCATAAAACTTATTAGAAAATACTTTTAATTAACTGAATTGTAGATTTGATTGTTTGATGTTGTTTCAATTTTATTTCTGTAAACATCAAAATCACTAAATGACTAAACAGGAGAGGATCATGTGAAAATGAATAATCCTATACATTTTTTGTAATGGTCTCCTTCTCTAGCAAAGCAAATGATTCTGAAGGAAGACTTAATAGTCAAATAGTATTAAAATTCTCTTACTACTAATAGTATATGTGCTGAAAATGTATTAGCATTGATGGCATCCAGAAAGCATAATTTAGAATGTTTACATTACATTACAGACAATATGAAGTTGCTTTGCCTTTAAGTAGTAGTGTGCCTCACACAGGCCTTATAGCTTGAGCAGAGGATAAAACCAAAATGCTATGACAATACTGCAATAGGAAGATGTTTTCTTATTTTGATACAGTTATTCCAGACTCAAATTTGTCCTGTTCTGGTTTTTAAGGTATCGTTCTGATGGTACTAAAAAGGACCCTTTAAAGATCACTTCTATGGTAAATATGATTGTAAAAATACTGTAATGGGACGGCTGTTTGGTTCCCTCCCCCCCAAATCTGTTCTATTACAAATATTTTACAAAATAATAAACTGGCTTTCTTCAACAGTATTATATTTAATAAACAAGATACTATACTTTCTAACACAAGTAGCTGTACTGAGGGGAGAGGGAGAAGGGGAGAGTTGATTGTTCTTTTTCATTTATATTCCTGATTGTGAGGTATGCATACCAAGCCTTTTCTTGTCTTTGCTTTTTTTAAGAATGAACATTTTTTTAGCTTGACTTCTTTAATAGTCTCCTTTATTATCTTATATATTTTAAAGTATCACGAGACAGGAAACTTATTTTTTTTTTACTAAAATTATTAACTAATCTAGCCTTGTCTGTTGAAGTAGTTTAATTCACAATATGGACTCATGAAACAAATTAGTGTGAATCCTGCTAGTCTGTCAAATAAGTAGATGTTGGTAAATATAAAACGTTATCTATTTCACAAACCATGGTATAAATTGTACAATTATTCTCAAGTTTTGAATTTTATTTGCATATAGTCCTATCACTATCAAGATACACGCTTTTTAAACATGCATAAAAAGTGGGAATATATATTTGGATGGATAATACAATATACCTGTTCTTGCTTTTTATGTGTTTTTTTTTGTTTTGTTTTGTTTTTAAGTGAGGTTGAAATTTTGATATCACTGATGTTAATGATCAACAACCATTGACTTTATTGGGATGAAGAATTGTATGCCTCTTATTATTTTTGTGGCCTTTTGGTTAGACTCTTTAGCTTGCAGGCTTAAGCTACTATCTGCATAACTTATATGGAGTTCATACATTTAACAAACTTTTATATATAAAAGGAAAGAACTTAAGCTATATGCTTAATGTTCCCTCTGGGTTTTACTGCCAGAGGTTCCTATATGATGCTTTCTGTTTTCAGAATGGCAAACTGGCAGTTTTCTGCTAGTCGTGTGTATAGCCTAAGATCAATCACAGTACATTCCTGTAAGTCTTGCTGAGAGTCTAAAGTAATATTTATTTTTACTTTTTGCATATGTTCAGAGTTGGGGTTCAGAAGGATATCACCTCTGGGTGATTGATGGGAATTTTTCTCAAAATACAAAGTGTAAAAGAGACGCAAAGAATGAAGCTCACCAATTTAGTATTTTGCAATTTCAATTCATCAAGAGTGTACTCACTGTTAATCCTTGTATGGTAAGTATTTATTGATAAGTATCCTTATTTTAGAGTATGTTCTCAGTTTTCGGATGACCTTTGAGTTATTCCCTTATCAGATTTTCAGGCTCTTTTCCAACAATTCAATTAGCCTGTTTCTTTTTAAAAAGCACATCTCTTTATAATAAAAGCCTTTAAAATGGCACTTGGAAAATATTGCTGTGTATTGCTATAACAAACCCCATAATTTGATGCATCATATATGGTGATGCAAAAGTTAAACTGCTTTAATTTCTATTTTTCATGTTGTTTAAGTTGAGTTTGTTAATAAAGTGAATTTGTGTTTTACTTCTCATTTTCTATACATGAAGTTAAAGGGGTTGGTTGGTTGGTTTGTTTTGTAGAGTAACCAGGAACAAGTCCTTCTTCAAGGAGAAGATCGCTTGTACTTGAACTGTGGAGATGCCAAACGGGTCCAGAGTCCCAGAAATACTTCACTGCACTCTGAACATAAGCCTGCCAGGGGAAGAAGCCCATTTTCAGATGGTGGTTTAGATTCTCGAGGTCTAAGCACTTTATTAGGACACAGGCATTGGCATGTTGTACAGGTAACTTTCATTGGTCACTCATATAAGTATTCTATGCTTGCTAGCGTTCATGGGGTTGGGAAATGAATCTGTTCTTATTATCACTCTTTAATGTACCCTTTTTGTATGGGATGTTTGCTTGCTTATTTTCTCTTGCTTTTCCCTAGTACAGCTTCTTCTTATTGCCTAATGGTAAAGTAATGTTGGCCATCCTGGCCTTCCAGTTGTGGATTTAAATCCTAGCCAATAAAACAATTAAAATGTCTTTTCTTATGCTCAAAATCTTTACAGGTGAAGAGGAAGCACACTTTATATATGTAAAGCCAAGAATTTAGTGTAACAGAACTCTTAACAGTGTAAATCAAGAATTATTGTTAGTCTGGATCTATTTATTACAGGAAAAAGAAATAATAATGCAATTAGAGTACTTATATACTGGAAAAAGTCACAATAATAGTAATAATACAATTTTATTTGAAACACACACACAAACTTCTTGGTTTCTATCCCTTCTCTTGAAGTCATGCTTGCTCTTCTATTGCTCCTCTGTTTCTTAAAGTCAGTAGCTTCAGACTGTTGGAGAGGATAACACCATAAGTCATCAGCCTCTGGAGTCCTTCTCCAGGAGGAATGTGATGTTGAGGTTGCTGGTTTCGTCTTCCTCCTCCCAGGATTCACTTTTACACGTTTGCTAACATGCTTTTACACCTTTCTCTTTCTTCCATTAGTTTGCAGCTCCAGGTTACAGCCAAGTTTACTATATATGGTGCCCTTTACATGTTAGATGCTATTTCTTTGTTCTCTTTGTTGCCCCTAAAGCCAGTTTTGTCCAGCTCCAGGTCTGCATTTTTTTAACTGACCATTAGTGAGTTGTTTATAGCCATGGGGGTCGCCAGTGCCAAGCCTGTGCCCCATCTCTTATCACCATCCCATGCCTGTACTCCTCTACGCTGCATCCTGTGTCTCCCCTTCTCAAGGCCTCTGCTTTCGTACCAGGCCTGTATTTCTGTGCACTATGTCATTGTGTTAGAGTCATAAATAGCTCATTCTACCTAGAACAACTACTTGTTACTGCTATTTATATAAAACTATGGTTGTACCACACAAAGATAAGCAAAAGTAGAACAAATTAGCCATAGACACCTGGTTAATTAGAAATTGCTATCACAGCTAAGCCAAGTAAAACAAAGCTACAGGCAGGGCAAGAAAACTTCAGACAGCGCCGGCCTGACAAGCCTCAGTTCTGAGGCCTTGCAAACTCAGTACAAAGCTTATGGCCTGTTACTAGCAATGGCAATACCATATTACAGGGATACATGGTTACACTTTCTGATCTTAGGAAAAAGAAGTTAAATTCCCTTCCCATGCTTTGAAGGGGAGGATAGGTACAAGAAATACTCTAGGGATTAGGTTTATTATGTTTATACACATTGCTTTAAGCACTTTCAACTGCTGAAATACAGCTTTAGGTTTTTTCTTGTATTTTCAATCACTCTAAAATGACATGTTTTAAAAATAAATAATTGAAACTTTAAAATATCAAGCTTGGGGAAAAAGAAGCTATTACCAAGAGCAGGTTCTGTTTTTCAAGCAGTATGAACAAATTAAATAAGTTTTAATCCATAAATCTAGTCTATCTTCTACTTCCACACTGTTTGTTTTTAAAAAAATTATGTTTTAAAAAAAATTGTTAAAACCTTGAATTTCCATTCAGAAAAATGTACACCAGGATTGAGATTTTCACATGAATCAATACTGTTGTGTTGCATTTGACGCTAGGCATTTGTATCAAGTTCTGAATGCTGTCTAGTCTCTACTCTAACTGGCCTGGTGGTTTTCTTGTCCCCTGAAATGGAGGGGGGGGAGGGTGAGATTTTCAGTCTATGTAGGGACAAAACAAACACAATTGAATCTTATGTGAGAAAAAACATACCCAACAGAAGAGCTAATGGTTTGGTGATGAGGATGCTCACCCGAATTATATCAGATTGAGGACTGGATCTTGATCCTGGATTTTATATTATCTCAAGTGACATGGTAAATCCAGGATCAAGATTTAATCCAACACATAACAGGCAAGTGTCTTTACCACAAGGCGGCTGTTGGCCATCCTGGCATGTGTTTCTGCTTAGAGAAATTCTATCCTAACTGAAAAATCCTTTCCAACTGCAGGGTTTGGTCAAAACTGGTACATTCCTATGAAAAGTTCCACTTTTGTTGGATCAGGAGTTTCTGTGTGGAAGAAAAGCATGTAGAAATTTGACTAATAATCCATAGGGTAGTATTAGCTATTACGTGTTATTAATGCATTGCTACATTCCTTGTATTCAAAACCAGCCAAACACTTATGGTTCTATAGTGTTCTTGAAAATTGTGTTTAAAATAAATCACAAAACTAGAAATTGAAATGCTTTGAAAAAACTTGATGCCATAGAAGTTCCTCTTGAACATTATATTTTATCATAACTTTAAATTTAATTTTTATTTTTAGATTCATAGTACATATCTAGAGAGCAACTGGCCTATAAGGGTGAGTTATTTCTTTAATATTTTGTTGCTTCAATAAAAGTATTAGGTTCCTATAACTGACTGTTAGCGTTGGATGAGCTCTAGCAGGTGAGATAATTGTACTAAATTAGTTCTAAAAGAAAAATATATGTTGGAGAGAATAGTAGAAAACATTAAGATTAAGAAGCTAGTAACTAGCTTCAACTCTTTCAACTCTATTGCTTATAGTAACCTACTTGGACAGAATATAGAATTTAAATATATAAGTATAA